GCGGCTCAACTAGAATTTTTGAAATATATAACTTAGAAGTGAGTTCAACCATGTTTTTTGATAACAGAGGGGAAAGATTTTAAGAAAAAAACGCCGATAATTATTTCAATTGGTTGTAACTCTGAAAATCATTTGCATTTTCCAAAAAAAAGTAATTCAGACTCTCTAGAGAAGTCTTTATTTTATATAAGCAAAATCTTATTATTTTAGATGCATTTTTTATAAAAGGAGAACCTTTTGAAAAAAGGTTATTCTAAGTTCATTTTTTGCAAAAATATTGTATTTAAATAATTGTTTTTGTCAAAACGACCTTAAAACAATTTTATACGTGTATTTTAATCTAAGTGACACTAAATATCATGAAAATTATACATTTATGCGCTTTTTTAAAATCACGGTTCTGAACGTAGCCGGATACCTTAGTAAAAACTTTTTCATTTTGGAAGTAATTTCATCAGCAAAATAAATCATGGTTATTGATGTGTTTTAAAACCGATTTTTGAAAGAAAGTAAGCTAACTGAAAAGCCGATTCAGCGTATACAGAGGGGTTCGCTACCAGACCGACTAACTTGCAGGATGAATAAGGGGTACAAAGATGACTCAGAATCACGTAGGTTTGCAGGGTTGCAAGTGACATAGTTGCAAGCTATGGTGCAAAGAAGAGAAAAAGAACAGAAGTAGCAACCCATTAATGGGACAGAAACATTTCATTAAACGATTTTACTACAACAGGTGTTTGAAATTGCGACCAGAAGTTATGTGGCCTGAGAGTGATGCTACATGAAATTCCTGATTTCTGGAAGATTCCTCCAGGTAATCTTGCTGTAGATGACATTGAACGGAAGGTTTCATGAACTCTGATCCTGCTGAAAATCGTCATTTACGATCCGTTTTCCGAGGTAGTAGAATGAATTCGTATTCAGGCGGGGAACTCATTGAAATGCTGATAGTGTATGGCGGGGGTGGGCATTAAGTCGATTGCGATCGACCGGTGGATCACCGTTACTAAGACAGACGCGCATACTAAAAGAAACATATTTGTGGAACACCGACGCTAGCTAGATTTGAGAATCAACTTTTCACAATCGACGTGATTGTGTATACTTAAAGCAAATTATCCGATGCATGTGTAGACACATGTACCTTTATTGAAAGCGCATGATGATGCTTAACACCTTAACTGCTGCAGGCGTAAATATCCGTCTCTCTGAAACGATAAGCTTAGTGCCGTATATATGTCTTTCCGAAATACGATTCTTTTCTTAGCTATTCTATCAGGGAAACTATTCCGAAGGCTTTGAAATACGATGAAAGTACCTTGAAAGTGTATACGAAGGAGTAACTTATTTCAGAGAAAAAGTTGCTGTGATTTGTACCCTTTATTCTCCCCCCCCTCAATTCATTGCATATCTCTGCCTATGTGAAAATGAGTGATACTGGGGAACAAATCTCTTAACTTCTAAGTTAAGGGGTTAACACGCTCGCTGCCACTACAGGGGAAAAAAAGCGCCAGCCGTAGAAATGAGTTTTTTCCCTCAAGCCGACTGAAAGGGAGAGTAAACAATGATGATTAGCTCTTGACCATAACAACATATATATCACACTTTCGTGGGAATGTGAGGCCGCGGTAGTGGTCAAGGTAGTGGTTCGTCGCTGTCTAGTTGCGAGTTCGAGCCCAGTACCACTTAAGACCCACCATGGTGGGGAGAGATGGGTAAAATCCTAGGAGAGCCCTCAACCTTGGCGACAAACCAAAAAAACGCAAAACCAGAATGAGATGGCGCCAAGTGAAACCGACAATGGTGGCAATTGAATATAACGGGATAAGGGGATGTGTAATGAAAATATATGTAAACAATACAGAAATTAAACATTTAAGGTAAAAAATATGAAAACAGCACTTACTGCTGATCTTTTCGAGTGGAGGGTACAGAGTAACAATAGATTTAAAAAAAAGCCTTGAAGGTCTCATCGCTAAGCGAATGATCGTTTGAGCGATGCCATATATATTCTGAGAGGTAATGATTGAACATCGAAGAAACTGTTTTATTGCCAACCATTACATTTCGGACATTCATAACTATAAGCAATCAATTCTTCCTTTATACATCATTCGATCAATCCTATATTACATTTCGCATTCAACAAAGTAAAAAATTCTAAGGTATATTCCTTCACACGCAGCCATACTTCCAACAACAAAATGAAGTTTGAAATGCCCAAACACAATATACGAAAATTCCAGAAATAGTTAGGTGTACCATATATAGTGTATTAAAATAGGGCTACCTAGATGGAACAATTATCGCCAAGGAAAATAATTCGCGCCAAGTGTGTAGGCTCTCTTTGGACCGAACAAAGAGATGCACGTTAAATCTGTCGAGAGATCAAACGTCCTCCCGTTGGTGTGGCGTGGTAGTTAGGATAGGGGATGCCAGCTCAGGTGTCGCCCTCGTCACTTGACCACGGTTCAAAATTACGAGATCCGTCGCAAAAAGCCCTCATGTAGCTGAACAGAGTGACGTTAATATTCACTCACTTACAACGCGGGTTTGAGTTCTTGTGTTGACGTCATGTCCGGTGATGGCGCAGGATCCGGCAGCGAACATGTTTACATTCGTCGGTTACAGATTCATCGGTGTACGTATGTTTACTGCCTTGCATACGTCCACTCTCCACCAACTTATAATCGCTCTTATACTTGTTCAAACATTCAGCTTGACAGTTTTGTGTTACTCTTGTTTTTGTAGTAAAAATAGTAATATTTAATAATTTAAAAGAGAGGTGCAATGTCAAAAACAACTATAAAGAAAAAAAACATATAATTTTAATACAAAATTTAAAGAACACTGTTTCTTACAATGTTGAAAGCAAAATGTATTTGCTAATGGCATGCATGTGTGGCATTTCCATAGAGTAGTATTTCAAAAGGATATGTGGAATTTTTCGTTACAGATTTTCCGTTCAAAAACAAACTGTCTAAGCAAAAGTTACAGGAATTTAAATCGTAATTAATCGGTCAACAATCATATTTTATTAAACCCAATGCTATATATAAGGCATCAACATTTACATCTCTTCGAGTGTCATATATTAGCAAAACATTAGAAGCCTTTCGTTAGTGACGAAATGATTTTAATAAAACGTTTCTGGAAGCCAGAGATACATTCTATGATTCATTCAAGAACCAAAATGAAACTATTTCAGCAATTAAATGCCTACAACTTCCGCTTAGAAGTTTCATACTTCACTCGCCGTACAGAAACGATGAATTCTGATGTAGTAGCTAATCAGCTGAGCGAAGATATTACTAACTGCATTTGCTTTTCTTTGCAGTTTGACGAATCTACGGACATAGTTGATATTTCTCAACGTTGGATTTTTATAAGGATGATTTTTAAGGAAAAGAGTGTAAAAGAAGAATTGCTAACAATATAACCACTAAAGAAGAAAACATGATTTGAAGATGTTTATTGAGCTTCAAAAGTACATAGCGGAGAAAAAAAATTCATATTTATAAAGTTGTATCGATGACAATTGATGAAGCCTTAATCAAAGCCCGGCACATTCAATGGACTTTTTGGTTATGTATATCAGAGGGGATGGGCGAGACTTACCACATTTGGTTTCTTATCATTGCGTTATTCACCAATAGGTTCCACCAATTCATTCCTGTCTCACAGATGACTACTTAGAACCTAGTTCAAGATCAGCAGTTAGTAATTATATACTGAGATATTCAAGTATAAGTTTGATTTAGAATCAACGTGAATGATTTTAGTATGCAAATAAAAGAACTAATTAAAACATAAACATTTATTCATAACGCGGCATCGTAATACAGTTCAATTACAACCATTTCTGTTCTTCATTGATGCCAACTTTTATTTTTACAAATAAACATAAGCAAAACGATTACAATTATTTCATCGATATAAAGTGAACCTTACACAAGATTGGTGGACAGTATGCACAAGTATGAGAACTAACTATTGATGAAAAGGATTTATTTTTTTAATGTATTTTGAATTATTTGATCATAAATGCATCATTCAATATTATTTTATTTGTGGCTTTTATTACGTTTATTTATATTACGTTTTGCTTAAAATGCGGTTTTAAAAGAGTTAGCTTTAATTGTTATGCAGGCAAATACGTATTCAGTATTTATAGTTAAGTATTGTAAACCCCCTTGTTTTTCAGCTCACCACACCTAGGTCTATGAGTGGACTGAAACACCTTCAAATAATTAGAAGTAGCCCGCACCCAGGAAAAGTCTGCCCACCCCTGGTGTATGAAGATGCGAATTGTGTGATGGGCGCACCACTCGGTGGTTGTACCACGTACGTTACCTGAACAGGCGTGTTCCACTTCCCACGACCTTCGCAAGAGTCAACAGAAGGTTAAGTGAGACTGGTTCTTTTTGATGTACTAGACACCCGTTCCTTTAGTTGAAGACCTCATTGCTTGAATATCTGTAGATGCTGGGAGGATATATGACGAGCCAGGAATCTTCTAGAAAGTAAGGGGGGTATCCCATGCTATATCACTGTCAGGCATACCAGATGACTTCTGGTCGTAATTTCGAACACATGTTGTTGTATAACCGTTCAATAAAATATTTCTGTCCCATTAATGTGTTGCTGTTTCTGTTCTTTTTCTCTGCTTATTTGCACCATACCTCGCAACAACAATGTTTATGACCCTGCAGTCCTATGTGATTCCGAGTCATCTTTGTACCTATTACACATTCTGCAAGTTTGTCAGTCTGGTAGCGAACCCCCCTGTATATATACCCATCATTGCATTATAACTTTCTGGCCTCATTCATTTGCTTTTTTTTCAATGCCTACTATTAACTCACACCCTCCCTATGTATATATTTATATATCTTGTTAGTTTTTTGAATCATTAATTCATTAATTAAATTAAAAATGAATAAATAAGAACAAACAAAAATAACAGACCAACGGAAAAAAAAGGAAAATCGTTCGTTGTGTTCCTATAAAGCAATGAATAGCGCGTTGGACTTCTGATCCAAAGATCGTGGGTTCGAATCCCACTAGGTTGGTTTAATTTCTGAGAATGTGATTTCTATTTTAGTATACTATTTTATTAGAATAAAAAATTTAATAAATGAATAAATAGTAACAAACAAACAAAATAGTCCAACATAGAAAATAGAAAATTTCAAGGGAAATCGCCTTCTATTTTGTCACTTAACAATGTGATTCTGCATTATGTATTATATACATATTTATATTAATTGTAATTATTTTATAAAAAAGAAACCAAAATATAGTTTTTCTTTGTTGACCTAAGTTGGAATTGACTTGTCTTTTTTTATATTACTTGTTTCTTTCAGGTGACTTTTTTTGACCCTTCGATTAACAATTTCTTATTGTTGTTATATAATGATTTTGTTATTTTGCGTTTCACATGATATGTAATGTGTTGTAGATCTACTGCCTTGGAAACAAGTATGAGAAAAAACTATCCCAGCAGATTTTTAGAGGAAATATTTATTAATTAACAAAATAAAGTTAATCATGATTAAAGAAATAAATTATAAATTTCGATTACTTCAAATGACATCAATGTCCATAACAGCTTTATTTTCATTTCATTATTTTGTATTGTAGTTTATTTATATATGTTCCAGTATTTTTCTGCCATATTTTTTTCTAACGAAGATATCTGTACTGTTGAGTAATTACGTTTACAGACTTTAGAATACCGAAAAGCGACAAGATAAAAAGTTTTAATTTACTATTAAAACATGGTAGATTATTAGACATCATAACTTTTTTCCTACTTTCTTTTTACGTCACATAAGTCCCATATACATCAACATTTGCATATTATACTAGATATTAATTGCACTTTTGTAGATACCTGTGGCCTGAATGAATTCTGTATGTATGTTTGCCCTTTCTTCGAGAAATTTATGAAAAGTAAGATAAGACAACAAAATCAATCTTCAAGACCAGAAACATGAATTTCATTTGTTGGATAATGAATGAAAATTAAAATTGTTTCAATTAATTGCGTCAACCAGAAAATATATAGAAAAACACAATTGTGGCTTCGCTACATTTCTCAACAGTAGAAAGATGAAGTTGTAATTAATTAATAGTCATATTATTTCATTAGGTTAATAATATATTAATCAGTTATATATAATTAAGTCAACATATCGGTTATGAAATTATTTTATGATAATAAACTTTAAAAAAAGGTGAGCTATTTTTACAAAAATGTGCAATTAAAAATGTATTATAGTTTTATACAACCACATTTTATTTCTTATCAAAATTAGTAATAAATAAAATGGTGATTTGTGATACAATTTCTTTGTGCTCATTATTTTTAATGTTATGATATGTTTTAGTAAAACGTAATATAGGCGAAAAATGGAAATCCATCAACCAATAATTACTTGTATTGGTTCCAATTAATTAACACAATGCGATATTCCAATAATAAAAAAATTCCAATTAAATTCTCAATTAAGTTCTTTGAAGCACCATACAATGTAACTCATAATTGTATAATTTTTGTTTTATTTCTGTGTTACTTAATGGTTATAGTCAACTGAATATTGAATTAAAAAAAACTTCAATTATTTAAATTTATACTGAACTCCAATCTGAAACTTTGTTCACTTTTTTTTCTATTCATGATTATTGTAAAGGAATATCATTTTAAAATTGGTTTCAGAGTTTTCACTAAATTCACACAGCCTTTCAGAATTATTAAACAAAATCAAACAGTCGAAAGCTAAAAACAATGGAAGTTGTTTTAACATAAACTGTTTGCTAAGAATTTAAATATATATAATATTAAAAGTCTCGTTCAGTTATGTTTGGAAATGTTCGCTTCTGTAAAGTGAGAGCAAAATAAAGTCCAATGTTTAAAATGAACAATTAGGTGTTTTATTTCATTTTAAAAATAATTATAAAAGGCAGGTTTTTTAATAACAGTTATATTATTTAATTTAAAAAAACTTTAACTCCAACAAAAGTAATAAAATGCATTTTTTCAAAATGTTTTAGTTTCAGAATCATTCGGTGCAAATTGAGAATTGCAGATTATAATCTAAATGGCATGTATTACGTCTTTTTCGATTAGAATTTGAAAACACTTTTTAAAATTTTCTTTGTGAAAAGCAAAAACTACTTTTTTTAAATACAAAAAGCATGCGTTTATCGCTTTCATTTTTATTCATGGTATTTAAAATATAAATTGTTAATACAGAATAATAATATATATATATATATATATATATATATATATATATATATATATATATATATATATATTTATATATATATATATATATATATATATATATATATATATATATATATATATATATATATATATATGTTTCCCCAATAAGAAACTATATTCATTTATTTTTCCTAATAATACATTTTGTTAAAATAATGTAGTTTTTGGAATATAGTTATTTAAATTGCGTATAATAACATTTCCAAAAATAAAAATATTTAACTACATTTCGAGGAAATTTCAAACGAAAAAGAATTACGGAAGCAAGGAATCGGAGAAAAATCAGAAATTCATCCAAGAATGAGAACAAATGTGAGATAATTTTTTGTGAAAAATAACTTTTCTCACTCAGATGCAGAAGGTGCAAAATGAGATAAAATAAATTTCGAATGTATTCAGTAAACTCATTGGATTATTTTCGAAATTGATTTCAACAGTTATTTGAATTTTCGAAATAAAGGTCGTATGCATTAAAGAAAAATTTTCAAGTTATACAGAAAGAGGGAACTTTTATTGGTGGAAATAAAATCTAATACAATCCAGAAGATAATTTGTCTTTGTATTGGTCGAGAATAAAATAATTTTTTCTATGAATTCATTCTTGTTATTGTAGTGTTCTGGAGATTACAGTGCGATTAAATTGTTTATGAAGCTCATGAAATCCTTTACCTCACTGATTCGCAAACTTAAAATTATTGTATTTATCGCCTTTTTTACTGAGCTTCATGGGATACCGATAACTTCACAGATATATTTGAAAGTCTAGTTTTTTTTAACGTTGAGTTTGGTGTAAAAATTTCTTAACAAGGGGAACATTTGTTTTGAGAGAATTAGCCAAGAATTTTGCAAAAGTTTAATTTGGACTCTTTTCATGAAAGAATTCTTACGATCTTAGATTCAAAGTTATTTTGGTATGCTTTGCAGAAAAAAGAACGCAAGTGATTTCTAAAAATGTTTTAAAAGAATTGCCTTAAAGTTTCAAGTAGGATTACATTTTGAATTTTTAAAAATGTTCTGAAGTAAATTAAAAATTGCTTTTTGAGTAACTTGGATCAAATTATAAGGAAAAATGTTATACACAATAAATGTTTAGAATGAAATTAGCCGTCTGGATATTGTAAATATTTTATTCTTCAAGATATATTAAAAAAAAATCACATCAATCCTTTGTAGAATTAAAATGTAAAGTTTAAACATGATAATTAAAAAAATTTGCTTTTCCAAAACTTTCAAGTAATGAACTTGATTCGTAATATAAAAATACCAATAGGTAGGAGCAATAGTTAATTTTTAAGCAAGACGCTTTTAAAATATAATGGCATTTTATTAAATCGCGTACGCATTATTTTTTCTCTATACTCTTCTACAATATCAAATTCAGCTTCTATTCTATCAATTTCAATCAGACTTTCAATTTGGGAATCAATTAATTTTAATTCTTCACCCCTTAAGTTAAAAGTTGAAAAGATTCTTCTAAATCCTCGACCGCTATGTTGGGTATTAAAATGTCACTTTCTAATTTTGTTATTTGTTTTGTTACTACGCCACGTAAAGTACCACGCTTACGTTTTAATTTACTTAGTGTTAATTCATTTGACTCAATTTGACTCTGAGCCTGTAAAGCCATTTTGTTCACTTCAGTCTATACAACGTTATTTTAAATCGTAAAATTTATATCAATACTTGTTTAGGTATCAAATATATCAATTTCTCAGAAGATTATTATGTGCGGGAATCTTTCGTTTTCAAACATGCAAAATATCACATAAGCTATTCTTTTGCATATATAAATAAAACGTTAGCAAAGTACTAATTTTAGTCGAGTCCCTGTTCGGTCGCCAGATTTCACTTTTTGCTATTAAAAAATGAAAAAAAGATCAAGGTAAAAGACTTACCTTGTCAATAGAGGGCAGCCACAACGAAAACGAAGTCCAAATAAAACAAAGCTTGTAAACTTCTAAAAAGTTTAAGAGGTCACAGGGGTGATAAATTTTTCTATATAGGGGTCTGAAAATATAAACATTTTTCAAACAGGTATAATTTCTTTACATTTAAGTTAAATAATTCGAATGTTTTACACATTACTTATAAAGAAATGGGGCTTCAGAAAAGTATAAAATGTTTCAAATTTAATCATAATTTTAAAAATTATAAGCATATGAATATAAGAAACTTTTCTATAAGAAATATTTATTAAGTCTTACGTCGCGCATGCTATTTTCCAAAAGAGTAATTACTAGCTATAAGTTGATTTATAAAGACAAATGTATTCCTAATACTTTGTAGCTACTTTTATATAAATAGAATAATAACTTACATATTTTAATAAATAAAAAATATACATTTTTAAAAAATATTTAAAAAATTGCAATATTTTACAACTATTTTGAAATACAAAAGAATATATAATACTAAAATTAGGTAGGGTTTAAAAAGTATGATGCATTGTGTGTGTGTGTGTGTGTGTGTGTATAGTTCTATAAAATTTTATACATCAGAGGCTAATATTTTAGAAAATAGCGTGCGCAAAGCAAAAAATACTTAATATTTATTATAGAATTTTTATATGCTTATGACTTTTAAAACTATTATTATATTTTAAACATTTTATACTTTTCTGAAGCCCCATTCTATTTTAAATAATATGTAAAAGATTCGAATGATTTAATTTAAATTTAAAAGAATTATACCCGTTTGAAAATCGTTTATATTTTCAGACCTCTAGTGAAATTGAACACCCCTGAGACCCCTTAATTGCTACCACACACATAATACATTAGACT